ATTCCCTAATCTATTGGTTTCAATAGCCTCATCTTCTAAAAGTAGACATGCCATAATCGACAAACCTACTAGTTTGTGACCATTCTATCTCATGTCCAGTTTCTGCCATGTCTTCCGCCAATTCTGACCGTTGGACCCAGCTTACACGCGTTTTTGTGTTGCCCTAATCTTCGTCAAACAGTTCGGCATGTCTCATCAACATAAGATTAACCATAAAGGCAACCGGTTGACATTAATGTGTCATATTTCTTTCTAAAATTTGGCATAACAGAAGAAAGTGTTAGAGTTTCTTTAAACACTTTTTATATTCTCAATTTCCTCACTAATTCGTCTATCTTCCTGGGAAGAAGGCATGACGACAAAATGAGTAAATGAGTCTCAGCTTATCTATCTGGCTAAATAGTCCTCGTCCTAAGATTTATTCCTCAGTAAAGAAAAATTATTCTCAATTAGGCTCAAATAATAATTATCTTGCAGGAATAAAGTTAGGGAGGAAGTCTCGTGGACTGCGTCAACCTGAATGTCATCTAAAAGTCAAACAGCTGCAGTACAATGAGATTCATTCGTCCTCTTGCTGAGATCGGCCTGCGAATATTTCCTTGCGCTCCTTACAAAATGAACGTCCTCCAAACAACGCCATCTCAAGAGATTCATCGTAGCCTAATTACTCTCTGTATGCAATTTGCATGACTTTTGGACTCAGTTACTACAAGTTTAATAGCAAATTCATTAAAAATAATAGATAATGCATTAAGGACACATCCGAAGAGTCGTAAGAGAATCATTGATTTCGTGACTTAAATAACTAATCGGAGGACGATTCACGTGTAAAAAATCAGCGGAGCATAATATGAAGAGGCCAAATCTAGTCATACATGGGGGAACGTGATTGTTGTTTTTATAGGGAAGCCTAAACAAAACTAATTTATAGAAGTGCGACCATAACAGAGGCCACAACATCTTGGTCTTCATATCTCCTCAAAAACTAATTTATTTTTGGTATTTAAGTAGAGATTCTAGACTTCCATTAAATCAAGGTATGAGATGTATTCACCCTTTTTAATTTAAGGGGATAAAGGATTGGTAGTAGAATTTTCCCACGTTGATATGAGTATAACTGACATTTCCATTGAATTTCACAAAGCTTTGTTTTACCAAAAGTTGTTCTCATCCAGGGTGTACTTTAGTTTCACTCTCGCAAAGGTCTTATCAACACACCCAGCGGGAGTCGAATATTGACAGCGCAGAATGTGAGCTTGACACATTCATTCGTCCACATTGCCGCGAGTGCCCTTGGGTCACAGGGCAGGTGTGAATTTCAAGGAAGGCCAGCCCTTTTGCCATATATTCTTTGTTGGGGTTGTCAATGAAGCAAACGTATATTTGCTATAACAATCGACTACGTTACTTATTTTTCGTATTCAAGTAGTTTTGAGACTACCGGTAAATAAGTAATATGTGATGTATAAACTCCCGCTGGGGGGTGTTGATAAGACCTTTGTGAGGTCGAAACTGCAGTCCACCCTGGATAAGAACAACTTTTGGGAGAGCAAGGCTTTGTGAAATTCAATGAAAATGTCAGTTCTACTCATATCATTGTGAAAATTTTACTACTAGTCCTTCATCACCTTAAACGAGATAGGGTGAATACATCTCATAAAACTGAACTTTAATTAAAAATAAACAAAATTCACTAGACTATTATAAAATAAAATCATATATGCAAAATAGTACAATTAAATTAGAAGAATCCCCTTATAAATTCATGATTTTTAACTTTTCCTTCGTTTGTGGACGGGAGTGGGAGGGTATAGCTTAGCTCCACTGGAAACTAAAGGAGTCCTTAGCGTACCGTTCTACTATACCGGATCATCTGTTTTAAACCTTCGTCTGTCATTTGACGTATATCGTCAACCATTATTTTGGAAACCGCATTAAGCACTAATACAAGAATGCAGGCTAGAGGCAATTCCATCAAGTTTTTATAGAATAACTTTGCCCATGAGGCGTCTCATGATTTACTTGATTATTTTATGCAGAGTAAAAGAATGTGCTTGTGATCGAAAGCCTTTCCATCAACAGTAATTTGCATTCCCGTAAAGAAGGCATTTTCGAGAAGTTTTACTATCTCTATACATAATTAAGAGTTCCAACGTCCTCAATAATTAGCTCAGCCCTTTCGAGAACTGATCGAACAGTAAAAAGGATCATAGCGAAGCAGTCAAGCTGTCCGTTTCTCCTCAAATAATTGTTTTCCCTTATTCTAGTCCCTAGTGTCTCCAATAATCTTCAATTACTCATTATTTTCGTCTTAAAATTTCCTTGGATTGCAGTCTATTTTCCCCGGTGAATAATATCTTGAGGAGGTAGATTTCTTGGTATCCTACCTCTTAATTTAAACTCAGTATGATTACAAAAAATTAGGAAATAAACCAGTATTTATGGGCTTTATATGTACATTTTCACCAAATTTATATACATATTTACTAACTATGCCGTCCAAGAAAGGGAATCTACTATTATTTTTCAATTCCATGGTGGATTCGGTCTTCATAGCATTTTGTTCA